GTTAGGGTGCTTACACTATGGAGTAATTATCATTGTATTCAACAAATTTTGGACACTTTTATACTTTTGTTATGTACATAAATTTTTTTTTTTAATAAGTGTATTTTTTGTCGTTAGGAGGGGTATAACGTTATCGACATGGGTGTGACATTACCCATATGGAGCACATTAGTGGCATTTAATGCTCCATGTGAGTGATGTCACACCCCAGTAGATGACCTCACACCCCTCCTAATAATGAAAGTACTTTTATTTTAAAAAAGCTCTATGTACAAAACAAATGGTATATAATATCCAAATTTGTTGAGTACAATGATAAATTACTCCATAGTGTCAGCACCCTAACATAACACAAAAAAAAAAATATTTCAATGAGTTATAATAATTCATTTAGGTATGGCACCAATAGGCAATAAGATAACAAAAAGTAGACTTAGGTGGGCTGGTCATGCATGGTGTAGACCCAGTACAACACCATCTAGGAGGTGCAAATCAATTCAAATGGAAGGTTAAAAAATGACAAGGGGTAGCCCAAAATGATATGGTTGGAAATAGTGAGAAAAGATATGGAGACTTATATCTTCACTAAGATGTAACGCTTAATAGGGCAAGATGGCGGACCAAGATTCGTGTAGCCATTTAGTTTGAAAAAAGCTCTAGCGATGATGATGATTATTATTTCAAAATAAATACTTTATATTTTTGTTTTTGTATGTTGTAGTTTTATTTTTTCAACGAGACATAATAATTTCTTTCGGTAAATTGCTTCCTTGAGTTCAATTTAGAGTAGCCAGTAACATTTATTTGGTTCAAGAATGCATGGAGCTATTTTGGATAAAACCAATTTAAAGAAAGGAAAGTAAACCACTACATTTAAAAAAAAGTTTATATAGAGCCGAGGCTTTAAACAATCAAATTAGAGCTTATCTCTAAAATTTCAATAAAAGAGGTTGTTTTGATGCTCAAATATCCTCAAATTGATCACATCGACATCTAAGATGTATGGACATGAGGAAAAAATGGATTTCAAGTTTTGAAAGTAATGAAATTCATTTTAGTGAGGTGGTACTACCAGCACGACCCCAACTGGAATAAGTCCGAGCCCATCATCTCTTTTAATGTTTTGAATTGAATGACAAAGAAAGATTGGGATAAATGCCTAAGGCAAATTGTAACATGTCAATTTACCCGAAAATTTTTTGTAACATGTCATAATGGAGATTGTACTGACAAATTATACACCTATTGTTGAAACTCAATTCCATCAAGAATTGGTAGTGATGGCATCTTCCACAGATGCCCTCAATATTGGTTTATTCATGAATCAATATGGTAAGTTCCATTTGTTGGGATTGCTGAATTGAACTGTTATCCCTTACTTAGTGCTGATTTTTCTTAAGAATGTGTGAACATGGATATGTTTTTTATTCAATGTTTAAACATGTTTGAATTCAAGAGAGAGGGATGTAGGATTGATCCTCATATTTGGATTGTAATTCTTTTTTACAGTAATACATTCTCTCTCTCTTAAATTTATCTCTTTATAATGATCACAAACTTACATAACTAAATCACATGAATTGGATCCTCATAGTGCAAGTTTTTCCTTTAAATATACTCCCTCCAGAGAATTATTGTCAACAAAGAGATCATTTATCTTTTGTACAAAAATATCATAATCATTCTTATGCCTTAGATTTCAAAATGAGTGGTTATAGGAGTGTCATTGATTAGACAGCTCAAAAAAAAAAAAATTTTCGAACTTCGTGACTCACCTCAAATCATCTAATTTGACATGGAATGAGTAGGAATAATTGTGGTACAAAAAGTAAAAGAAAAAGTTTATATAGAGTCCAGGCTCTAAACAATCAACTTAAAGCCTCTTTCAAAAATTTCATTGGAAAACGTTGTTTTGATAGCCAAATATTCTCAAATTGATCGTCTCGACATCAAGATGCATGGACATGAGCAAAAAAATGATTTCAAGTTTTGGAAATAGCGCATCTTGTAACACATTTTTGGATTGTAATTTTCAAGATTTTATAAATGTGCTCGGTCTACACTATTTTTTAAGCTTTAAATTTTATAATTAAAGATAAAAATATATTTTAAAGTTATCACAAAGATTTCCGAAGTTGAAACCACATTTCTCGACACTATATGAAGATGCGCTTTATTTTGATTGTTTAGCGCCTAGGCTCTATGCGAAGTGCACTCAAAAGTCTCTTTGTAGGCAATCTCATTATTAATAGTTGTTGGAATTGTATGTTATGAAATTATTTATTTATTAACAAGATGTCACAATGGCTTTTAACCATTGAATTAAAGTGGGTCACAATATTCGAGAAGTATCTAATGACACCACATCATCCACCCAATTTTGAATCTAATGATCAATAATGAATGTGACCTCTCTTGTAGCATAAATATATAATTATATTTTATAGGGTGCAGTTTGCATAAAGCCGAGGCTCTAAACAATCAAAGTAGAGCCTATCTTTAAATAGTATCAAGAATTGTATTTTTAATGTTGAAAATATTTGTGATAGCCTTAAAATATATTTTCATCTCTAATTATAAAATTTAAAGCTTCAAAAAAAGTGTAGATTGTTTATATATGTGAAAATTTGAAAATCTTGAAAATTGACAGTAAAAAAATGTATTACAAGATGCACTTATTTTTAAAACTTGAAATCTATTTTTTTTCATGTCCATGCATCTTGATGTCGAGATGATCGATTTGAAGATATTTAGACATCAAAACAACCTCTTTCATTGAAATTTTTGAGGTAGGCTCTAATTTGATTATTTCGAACTTTGGTTTTATATAAACTTTTCCCTAATTTATATATTTTCTAGTTTATATATATTATCTCTTTATATAGAAAACCACATTCAATATTTCTACCTATTTTTATGTACATAAATTCTTGGTGCTACTGCTTAAAAAGAAAAAAATTCATAAAAAAAAAACTATTTATTTTTATATGAAAAGAGTATAATTAGCTATGTCCATCAAATTTTAAATGAGTGATTATAAAAATGTCATTAATGAGACCTCATATTCAAAATAATGTCGAATCCCTTGAACACTAAAATTATTTATGGGGTCCTTGTAACATGGGTAGACGCTCTGATATGATAGCATAGAATGCCGCTAAAAAAAGTAGCAAGGAAATTCTCAGAGTGCCTTCCCAGCGCAGCGCGCATCACATCTAGAGAGAGAAAGAAGCGTGACAGTTCCTTGAGAGAGAGAACAGTGGCGGAAGAGAAGCATCGGAGAAGAGAGCTCACAGAAGCAGGAGCTAGGAGTAGAGAGAGAAAGAGATTATAAGGAAAAGGAGGAAGAGCTTGTAGAGAGAGAGAGAGATGGCAACCATCAGCTTGAGGAAGGGCAACACACGGCTTCCCCCAGAGGTGAACAGGGTCTTGTACGTGAGGAACCTCCCCTTCAACATATCGAGCGAGGAGATGTATGATATCTTTGGCAAATATGGGGCGATCAGGCAGATCAGGATCGGAACCAGTAAGGATACGAGGGGGACGGCGTTCGTGGTTTATGAGGACATCTACGATGCGAAGACGGCTGTTGATCACCTCTCTGGTTTCAATGTGGCGAACAGGTATCTCATAGTTCTCTATTATCAGCAGGCAAAGATGAGCAAGAAGGTGGATCAGAAGAAGAAGGAGGATGACCTTGCCAAGATGCAGGAGAAATATGGAGTCTCTGCTAAAGATAAGTAGAATTTGGAATTGTAATTGGACTCTTCCCTCTATTTAGCGCTCTCTATTTCTAGGGTTTTTGGGAACCCTCGAGTTTTGGGGTTTCTGTTTTTTAGGGTTTTGTTTCTAGGGTCTTTCTGAAGTTCAATGTGTTTTAGTGGATTGCTCACTCTCAATCTCTGCCTGACTCTGTCTCTGAAAAGCATGGAATGTTTCTTCTAGTGATGTACAGTTTTGTGTCCCCGTTTCTCTCAGTATCTATCTCTATCTCTGTTGTGTTTTTGAATTGAGGTGATGTTTTAATGGTTTTCTTGGTGTCTGTTTCTTTTTAGGGGTTTGTGGGGTCTATCAGAGGTTGTTAATGGTTTCTCTGTTTGTAGGAATTTTCTGGATACTGGGGTAATTAGGGCATAATTTGACTATTGGCTACCATTTTTGGCTTCATTGCGATTGGTACGGTTTCTAGGGTTTTCCTGGCTTCTTATGTAATCATCTACTGGCTTCATGAAAGATTTTGATGTACTGGATCATGGTTGATTGATAAGCAATGTATGGAGGTACAAATGGTATAGTGCATTACTCAGTATAAAAAAATGATATTCTCTGAAGTATAATGGGGTTGTAAGTGCTATTTGTGTTTTTACCAAGTGTTAGTTGGACTATTTCTGTTATGGATGTAATGAGGCATGTATGTGTTTCAATATATTCAACAAATAAAATGAGTTAGCTTTATTGCCTTTATAACCTTTTTGATGAAGAAATTATCTTCCTAGTTTTTCTTTGCATTTTGTTCTGTAAATGTTGGGTTCTGTATAATATTGGATTCTCTAGATCTCTTGTGGTAGCTATCTGGTTCGGATTTGGAATTTTAGTTGTTTACTTCCGTTTATTTCACTGCTGGTAATATGTATCTTTATATGATATTTAGCTTTAAAGGAATTTAGCAATCAAACCTTATATTCAGAAATCCCGAAGCCATTGGAAGCAAACGTTTTTGAGTTCTTGGTTCATGGATTTTAGAAAGCTGGTTTTAGTTGAAAAAATTCAGGGTCAAGGATCAAGAGAAGTTTCTGAAGGTGAAGACGAACAGAATAAGGGGAAGTATTTTAGTTTGAAGTTTAGGAGCCCAAGGTTCTCAAACAATCTAGTTTTACAGTTTTGGCTCTTATATTTACTGTCAAAGGGTTTCATGTCTTTGGTTTAAATTAGCTTGAAATGGACAAGGTGGTTTGTGTTTAGGAGAAAGGATCAAAGTTTTTGGGGCAGAAGGTGAGGACACAAGTACAGGCTCTTGGTTGACTGATTATGGATCATTGGGCCTCAATTAGATGATAGATGGCTCAGATCTATATGTAACGTATAAAGCACTGCATGGTTTGGGAACCATGTGGCACTCAAGAAATGCCTTCGGAGGTTAATTTTTAGGTTCAGATGAAAAATATAAGGAAAATCGGATCTTGAACTACGTATCATTTAAAAATCACTGTGGTTTGGGTGATTTTAATGTTTCACACCAAAAACTTATATGTTGAACCAAAATTTGAATATAAAACTTTAGAAATAGAATAGTGACCTATACTCGCTCTCTAAAAACTCCTTCTCTCTTTGAAACCTTCTCTGTAATGTGGCCTCTCTCTCCACTTTTTTCTAAAATCCCTCCTCTCCATGACCTGCCAATCTCTTTCTAAATGAACTTTTCTCGCTCACTCGCTCTATCTGTAGGTCCGGCTTTAAATAGAGCTTGGGTTGAATGTGAATGACATTGGAAATTAGGGCCGAACTGAGACTTCAATTCATGGTGCTCTCGGTTCATATTATTATTGTTGTTATTGCCGCTCCTGTTGAGTTCAGAATCGATGCTTAACACTAGGTTTTGATGATTCCTCAAGGTAAGCTTTGCTCGCTATTTTTGTGGGTTTTGGGAGATGAATCTCTGTTTCTTTGCTTTCTCCTAGCTTCACCATTATTGTTGGCTTTGAGGACAATGAAATGTATTTTAGTAAAGGAACCAGGGTGAGGGCTGCAAACACAAAGGACAGAAAACTATAAATGTAACCCTCTAAAAGAAGGCCTTTGTATTCCGCCTTCTTCTCTCTGTCTCTCTCTTCTACCCCTTGTGTATCTCTGCCATTCGCCTGTGGTTAGCTTCTCCCTCTCTCTCTACCCCTTTGTATCTCTGCTATCCGCCTGTGGATAGCCTCTCTCTCTCCCTCCCCTTGTACTATTTTATTAATATAATAGTTAGCATTTTAAAAAAAAAATTAATGTCCTTATTATTCTCTAAATGACTTTTATCTCCATTGAAAAAGCCATACAAAAAGAGTGCAGAGGTACTTAAATCTCCCTGTACCACACCAAAGCTCCGACATGCCTTTGTCAAAACAGTCATCCATGATTCTTTACACAATGAGGAAACCCCATAAGCATCCTTGTAATTAAAATCCAGGTTTGGTTTCCAAGACCAACAACTTGCAATTTCTTTGACTTTTTTTTTCAGTAGGTGGTGTGTTTCAAACATGATTGTTGTTTCAAATATGAAAGGAAATATTTGGTCTTAGGTTAAATAATATGTTTTTACTAATAGAGCAGAATTGCAGTCTAGGATTCATGTAGGCAACCCCAATTAGTTGGGGAAAGGCCCTGACGATGATGATGAATTTTGTGCTTAAAGGGGGAAGGGTTTAGTAACAGAGCAAAGTTTCAGGAGGTTTTCTTTAAACCAGTTTGTCGAACACCAGTTGTTTGGTAAATTTTCTGAGAGAAACCTTTCAATTTGGACATGATGATTGCTGGATAGTGGTGCTTGCCTATATAAATTCAGCCACTTTTTAATTGTAGTACTTAGAGCAGACTTTGTGATAGTTAATAATACATTTATTATATGAGTACTTTTTGTGTACAATAGAATGATTTACATGTGTACAATAGAATGATTTACATATATTGCATACAACATGTATGTGTTTAATGACTGTTTTCTGATTGGTTCTTCTTGTTCACTTTGTGTTTGAGGTGGAAATGTTTATCAATGTGGCACAGTTTTATGAGATTTTCTTTGAATTTGTGCACCACAAAGTAGTTGTTTCTTGTTAGAGAAATGTCTTAATTAGGCCCAGCATGGTTACTTGGTATATTTGTGTTGGTGACTTTGTAAAAAGTTAGGATGCAATTAGTGCACAGATTTAAATAATCACAAAAACATTGATTAAATTTAATACAATAGAAAATCCAGATATGAACAAATATGCCTCTTTCTCTGTCATTGCTCAATTGAATGTTCATTTCTTCTCTTCTATAACCAAGCTCCAAACTTCTGCTTAAGTTTCACTGAAACTTTTTCTCCAGTATATATCTTTTCTGTTTTTGCCTTATGTCAGCTTGCCTTAGATGAAACTCTCTTTCCTTTCACTCTCTCTCCCCAATTGCCTCTCCAAATAATTGCTTAGAAAACAATTAGACTTTCCTTAGAGGTACACAACAGTTGAGTGTTAGTTTTTAGCTCACTTGAATTTTTATTGTGGTCAAAACTATTATTGACTTTGCCTGCAAAGAAGGAAACATGGGCCAGCATAGATCTTTATAGTGTAACCCTCTATGCATTTAATCTGTATAACCTTTCTTAGAAAGTACTTAGAATTTTCTCAGAGGTACACTGGTCGAGTGTTAGTTTTAGTTTTTTGAATTGTAATTCGAGTTAAAACTATTTCTGACTTTGCCTTAATATACCTTCTCAATACCACTAGCTTCAAGTTTTTTGAGGTAAGTACTGTCTTTACTTGGAAGCTAAAGAGAGAGAGAGAGAGAGAGAGAGAGATGAATATGCTTTATTAGTACTTATTGCTTGAAGAGCTATGAGAGATAAATATTTGTATTTTGTTAATTATTGCTTGAAGCGTTGTTTTGGATGACACATTTTAGTTGTTGATGTTTAATTTTATCAGTTCATTAATGGAAATATGAGGGAAATTATATATTGACTGTTGGGTATCTAAGAGAATGAATATTTGATTGTTCAATTTGTGGGAAATCAGTATTCCATTGTTGGGTATATGTGAGGAAATGAAATTTTCATTGCTGAGTATTCCGGAGAATGACTTTTTCGTTGTTTTGTACATGAGAGAATGAATGTTTCCATCTTTGGGCTATTGAACAGCAGCTTCATCATCTTCTTCTTCATAGTTTGGAAGGAATTTGTTTCTTCCTTAGTGTTTTGGTTGATGGGAAATGTTTACTTCTAATATTGCTACGAAGTGTGCATTTTTCACACTAGCCCCACTAACCTACGATGTTTACAGTGATGAACGGAAATTCTTCGTTACAGGGATTGCCTTAAATGAGTTCATGGATGTTCACCTTCTTGATTCCTAGTGAAGCATCCATTACTAAGGCTCAAATGTTGCTCATCCATACTAGGTGCATGCTCATCAGAGAGCTTAAAAATCTCATTTTCATGTCAAAATTATAAGAGGATCAATATTTTTTGTTTTTTATTTTAAGCAATTTGTATTGATGCGATTTTGTGAAATGTTAGATTGATCAATTTAATTTGTGATGATAGCTTTTGGTTTTTTTTTTTTTTGTCCGGGTGTTCGCTTTGAATAATTAATGATGTGAATTTCATCTTCCATAATATGACTAGATGTTGGTGTTATCTAAACTAATGTTGGTTTGTATAGGATGGAGTTTATAAAATTTTTCATATTTGGTAGCGTTGTCAAAAGAGTCTTAGATGGTTATGAATCAGTATTGAAGGTTAGGTATGGTTTGGAATAATTGTAGGCTTTATTATTATTTTTGTATTGATTGAAGGGACTGGAAATGACGTTGCCACAAAACGAGAATTTTAGAGGGATGTTTTAAAATCTAAAGGTTTTTAAATTAATTAGACTAAAACTAAGACAAAACGTATGGAATGTAAGTTTAGTAATAAAGAGTAGAGACAATGAAATAGTTAAAATTGGCGGTAAAAAAATACCAAAATAAGTGCACTTTTAACAACTTGGATCGATACAAAACCCTCTTGCATCAAAATGGCATCTTTTGACATAATTTTGAGATGTGGTTACTAAAATTGTAAAGGTCGACACCTTGTACAAATCTCACCCATTTTCACCCATTTCTGTAATTCATATAATTAACTTAGTCCTTAATATGAAATTAGCATGATTTGTCCTAAAATTTTTGAATGAGATTTACAAAAACCAATTCATCAGGCTCCTTCAAGCATCCATAACTTTGGCAATTTTAGAGCTATTCTTAGTTTATTTCTTTATTTATTGTTATTATTTTTTTAAAAAAATATAAATTATTTATCTTTGATACAAAATAGTTACAATTAATCTCGACAATTAGATGTGAAATTAGAAAGCTGCTTTTATTTCATTTACCAAGCTTAAAATTCAAAAAAAAAAATTTAAAACTTGTGCTACACCCAAACTCTTAGATTTCACATCAAATTGTAGTTGGTTGTAAATGATTGTGACATCTTTCTATCAAAAGTAAATAATCTCATTCTATACAATCCAATAGAGAAAATATACAAAGAGACTATTTATTTTTGGATATGGTTTATATAAAGTTGCAACCTTAAACAATCCAATTAAGGACTGTCTCCAAATTTTGTTGTAACATAACTTTTGTATGATTTTTTTTTTAAGATTATCTGAAAATCTTTTTTATATCTGATTATAAATTTTTAAACCATAAAAATAGTTAAAAATCAAGTAAACCTATAAACATATGAAAAATATTGAAAATAGACAGTCTAGGTCTAGATAATGTGCTGCAATATAGTGTGATGCAATATGCATTATTTTTAGGCTTTTTTTTTTTTTATTTAAATATTCATACATATGAAATATAGGGTCTTTCAACATTAAAACAACTTTTTCCAATCAATTTTTCAATGAATTTTTGAAGTACATTTTTCATTCTACATTTTAAGAACCTCATATAAACTTTTTCCTTTCCTTTTTGGTATAAAGAAGTCACTTTATCCATCGTATTAGTCGATTGCAAGTGCATTATCGACCGGGTTTAAAATTCAAAGAAAATTTATGCAAAATTCGTCAAGTTATCTAATTTGAAATCGTATGGCTAGAGATATAAATGACCTTGTAACAAAGGTAACGTGTCTCACAGTATACAGTCCCATTCCAAATATATCCTTAATTTTGAAGTTTATACTAAATGTTGCAGGAAAAAAAAAGAGAAAAAAAAGAAGAATTAACGTATGAAATTACTTTAGTTCCTTTTTTTTTTCTTCTTCCTACAATGTAAAAAATACGTTTAATCTCACCCAACAAAAATTTATATGCTACAAAAATATCGGCTCCATAACACCTTGCACCAGTCTCGTGTATGAGAGCGAGCGGGGTAAAAAATCTTTCTACATTTTTCAGACGTTAAATCTGAAAAGCATCACATCTCCCTCTTGCACCACATAATCTTTCCCTTCGGATCTCAACTGCATGATCAAACCAGGCATTCAATACTGGTGTTTAAATAACAGGAATCGGGTCCGCACTCAGATCCAAGTTGGCTTGCCGATTCCGAAGCCAACTTGCATATTCCAGCCGGGTTTGCCAGAAAATAAAAAAAAAAGTATGATGAAATAAATCAAATAGCCTGCGACTGGGGAGACAACCTGGGAGTTACCAGAGTCCCTACAGTGAACCAATTCACTATAGAGAACAACCCAGTCTGGGGTTTCGGACAAACCAGGTGATTCCCTAGTCGGTCGGACGCATCTGCCTGCCAATGGGAACCACCTAAGTCCAGGCCCCCGACTTTTCAATCACTGCTCCACGAAGTGGACATAGGTGAATTTTCATGCATGCATGGATTCGTCAGCATCTACTTCTTGAGAAAAAGTGTGCATGCACATGTGTGTGGGGAAAGAGGGTACTTACGAGTCCCTTTTCCCTTACAGCCGCCAATGACCCCGCTACAACAAAATCATCATATGCCACCTGATTAAATTGTGGAAAGCGATCAAAGAATACCAAATTCATAAGAATTAGATTACAAAAAAAGCAGAGAAGCAACCAAATAACCCAAAATGTATGGCACCAAAGGTAGATTACGACTAATCATAAAAAATGGGGCCGGCAACAAGAGGGGCCAAGACTAGCCCAAGCCCAGCTGGGTATCCTTCGAGCCCCACTAGGGATTGGACCAAAGGGGCCCTAGCCCAAAGCCTATTAAAGATTAAATTTTTTCAATACATCCAAAAAAGCAAAAAAATATTTCATCACATGCTAGTATATAAAATAAGAAAAATATCTCTTTATCTCCTATTTTTAACTTCCATATCTCATGAAACTCAAAAATTGAAAATATTACTTGTTAGCAAAAAGCTCTATCTTTTCTATCTTACAACCCCCTGAACCTTTTTGACCATAAATTTTTTATCCAAACAAACACTAAAATGATACACCATTCAAACTCCATCTCTCTCTCTCTTCGCTTCTCGATGAGTTTACCAGCCAAAGGGTTTAGCTTGAGCTCGAATACGAACACACCTTATGTGTGAGAAAGATGGAGTTTGAGTTTTGAGAGAGACGATGATGTGAGAGAGAGAGAGATGGAGTTTTGAGAGAGATAGAGTTTTAGTGAGAGATGGAGCTTTGAGAGAGAGAGAGATAGAGTCATTTCATAAATTGTTGAGATCAATAATACACGTCAAAAGGGTTTAAGAGGTTGGAAGATAGAAAAATGGACTTCTTTTGCTTACAAGTAATATTTTCAATTTTTGGGTCAAATGAGATATAGAAGTTAAAAATAGAGAATAATAGGATATTTTCCCTATAAAATAAAAGTCAAATACATTATTTTTAATTGATCTAGATCACGGCTAATTCGCTAGAGCAACTATAAAGGCAATCTAAGTGATATGAATTCCACCCATATTCTCAAAATTGGGAGGGATTGATACAAGTACACAATGCGTGTGAGCCCACACACACAAGAGGGTGGGGCGGCAGTTGGGCACGCACCCATATTCTTAAAATCGGTAGGAATTGATAGAAGTACGCAAGGCAGAGAGAGAGAGAGAGAGAGGAGGGGG